CTACCAAAACAATGTACTGGTCAAGTCAATCAGAGACATGTACCGAGTCTGTTGCACCTGCTAGTGAAAAGAGACCAGCTAATGGATGTAGGTTATTTGGTATTGAGTTGCTGGATTGCCCAACCATAGATGAATCCTCATCGGTTGCTATGCCAAGTGCTGTAGTGGAGGATCAGCCAGTTCCATCTTTAAATGTTGATTCTGACCGAAACTCAGAACCATCAAATCCAATTCCTTCAGTAAGCTGTGAACCTGAAAAGTCATCTCTGAGGTCTACCCACGAGTCTCAAAGCAAACAAATCCGGAGTTGCACTAAGGTACACCTAACCTTTAGTCTATTTTTTGTTCTGTTCGGAATTCTCTCTTTCACAAGTAAATGATTGTGGTGCCCTTGTTTTGCCAAATTGGAGTTCATTGTTTGATTGAGCTTCTTTGTATTCTCCTTAGGTGCATATGCAAGGGAAGGCAGTTGGGAGGGCAGTTGATCTCACAAGATTAGATAGTTATGAAGATCTGCTTAAGAAATTGGAGGTGATGTTCGAGATTGAAGGTGAACTTCGTGGATCAACCAAGAAATGGCAGGTAGTCTACACAGATGACGAGGATGACATGATGATGGTTGGAGACGACCCATGGCAGTAAGTCTGACAACCTTAGTTATGTTTTCATTGTTCTACTTTGCGTTACATTTTGTGCTTAAACATTCAACATTCCTTGCATCATATAGATAGGTTCTGAGTAATGTGGATCACTAATCAGCATCATCAGTTGTCTTTTCTATTTAATCCACAAAGATTTTACTTTTACTTCCGAGATGTATTTCCTACTGACTTTTGGTGTAACGGAAATGTGGTACAGTGAATTCTGCAGCATGGTTAGAAAAATTTACGTCTATACAGCTGAGGAAGCGAAAAAACTTTCCCCAAAGATCAAACTTCCTGTTGTGGACGTGAAACCAGTTTCAGATGGTGCAACTGTTGGCAACAATGAAAAAGCATAGGAAGGTGGGTCCATAATGTGTAGAGGAGTGGGGAAAGAATGGATCTGACATGAGTCAATAGTTTTGGTTTTTTTGGGGAAATATAAGTGATGATGCAAATTAGAGCCCATACTGGTATGGGTGGTCAGTTATGGATGGCTGGCAAGACAAAAAAAGATCGGCTTTTGATTTTTAATGTATTTTCTGAGGAGAGAGTGATGCCATAGAACAGATAGGATTCTCCATCTTAGTATTATCTTATTGTAGTTGTGATTTCGTCAACAAAAGGAGAATCTTATGATGCTTTGCTTGTTTGGACCTCAGAAAAAAGTTTGTCTGCACCCTTCTCTAATGGGAGATGTGGAGAGATACTTTCTGTTGCATTTCTTTTTTTTGTTTGTTTAAATATAAAGTCATGTTATGACAAAGATGGCTTATGTGTATATATATATATATATATTATATAAAAAAAATTAGCCTTTGCAATTACATTATCATTTGTAATTTAGGCATCTTTTTCATGATTTATGCAGATAGTATTTATTCATGATTGATCACATTTTCTTTTTCACATCTCTTCTACTTTACATAAACGCGGTTTTAGATATTTAGTAAAAGGTAGTATTTGAAAGGATTATGGTCAAATGTTCTTTTATTTTTTTCGATTAGTAAATAAGACACATACGCAGTTATTGATTTTGGTTCTTTCTTTCAACTTATGTATTATTTGTTACGTTACTATAAAAACCAGTCAATCTTACATGAAATTGATTTTTCTTTGAACTTGCAACGCACTCTACGATCGTGCTGAAATAATGGCGATTTGACTTGTATCAGATCTTAATTTACGTGACACTTTTGTTTTATGTCTATAAAATTTATTTTGACATCTCACATTTCAAAAGTCTTTGTATCAAGTCACACTATTTTAGTATTAAATATATGGGTTTGTTGTAACTGAACATTGACTAATTCGTAATAAGATATCGTTTACCACATGGTAGATAAAAACAAGAGAGTGATGAAAATGACATATAATTTGAGGAAAAAAAAAGTATTAAAGAAGAATAATATTATAGGAAATATTGAGAGTATTACAAGTCACATCTCACCAACCCTGCAACTCCCAAAAATAAGTAAACAAGGAAGACTAGATGTCGGCCCCGGTTTGTGCACTTCACTAATAAACCAATCAATCATTCATATTCATCACACAAATACAAATGATTATTCATACAAAAAAGAAAAACTTCTTTTTTCTTATAAAAGTAATGAATGAAAAATAAAATAAATGGAGGAAGAAGAAATTTAGACAAAATACTATTCTAAAAGGAATTATATGCCATTAAGATTCTTCTGATAAAGTCAAAGTTTTTTTTTTTTATAGTTTCCGCGTCAATTTATTGTCATAATTTGGTCAGTATAATTTATAAACATGTAATGGGTACAAAGTTTTGAGGTGTTAGTAAACATAAATTTCTTTTTGACCATAATTATTTTGTTTTATGTTTGTGGAAGAGAAATTTATAAGGTGTGGAATCGAATAATGACGTGAAATGTTGAAAGTTTACCATCTCTATTCTTGAATGATTAGATATATATTCTTAGAATAACGAGTTATAGCTTAAAAGCCTTTTAATATGATTAAAAAAAAATACTTTAACAAATAAACAATTGAACTTTATACTTTATCTTTTGAAATTGGAGATAAATTTATAATTTAGAATTTATAAGCTTCTAGTACAATTTCAAGTTAATATATATAGTAGTAGTTATCTGGATTAAGAGACAAATATTTAGTAGATTTTTTAAAACATATACATAATCTATAGTAAAATAAAATTATTAAAATTCATATCATTCCATAAATAACGTATTAAATATGCGGTCTCAAAAATCTCAAAAAGATACATCTTAGCCTCCTTACTTGAACAGTTGAACCCATGATTGGATTTGGGCCACACAAGTTGTAACCTCAGTCAACAAAGAATGGGCCTTTGTTTAGTAACCCTGATCCATAACTATTTATTGAAATCCAAGAATTATCGAAAATAGACGTCCATCAAAATAATAATAGTGGAATAAAACAACAGAAGGGACAAAAAAAAAAAAAATTAAGACAAAAGCTAAAATGAAGAGAACAGAACACACAATTCGTCCCACGTGCAACACAGAGAAATAAAAGGGACAAAAACAATAAGAAAGAGAAACTAATCAAACAAAAGTAAGAAAATTAAGAGACAAAACGACAAATAATTACGACATTAAATAATTGAAAATTTTGGTCCCAAAAATGATGAAAGTGACTGCTGGGGCATTCAGGTACATTCATTACTCAAGTAAATTAAAGCTTGTGATTGGCTGATTCGTTATGGGCTTCCTTTCTGAGGCCCAATGGATCTAGTCTATCATATGTAGCTTATGGGCCTGCACCCACTATTCTTGTTCGGCCCAAATACCTTTTTTTAAAACTTTCACATATAACCACTTAAAATAATTAATTACTCTCCATAACTATAGTTTGATAATTATAAATTGTATCTACATGTTATTTAGAGGAGAGAGCGAGAGATACTGGGAGAGAGAGGAGAGAGGCGAGAGAGAGGGGGAAAAGAGTGGAGAAAGGTGAATTGTATATGTATATTGGTTAGATAATTGTATATTATACATATGTAATTGTATATATGGTTAGAGAGATTGGGAGAGGGAATAGAGAGGCAAGCGAGATTGAGAGAGGCGAGCGAGAGAGGGCAGAGAGTGAGAAAGAGGTAAATTGTATATGTATATAATTGTATATAACTGTATATTATACATATACATTTGTATAAATGACAAGCGAGATTGGGAGACGGAGGAGAGAGGCGAGCGAGAGAGGGCAGAGAGTGGGAAAGAGGTAAATTGTATACGTATATAATTGTATATAACTATATATTATACATATACATTTGTATAAATGACAAGCAAGATTGGGAGACGGAGGACAGAGGCGAGCGAGATCGAGAGAGGAAGGAGAGAGGTGAGCAAGCGAGGGCAGAGAGGTGAATTGTATATGTATATAGGCTAAAAAATTGTATATTATACATATTTATTTGTATATCCTGACGAATTATACATATACAAACATGAATAGTTATACAAACTCGAAGTCAGCCACGTAATTAATGTATAATGTTAGTCGCGGGTGGTAATTGTAGCAAACTATAGTTATGATGAGAAATTAAATAGTATAAGTTTGCTTATCTGCGTAATTTTCCCAATTTTTTTTAAACCCCAAATAACCCGCCGCCTACGACCTCTGCCACACCCTTTAACCTTCGGGTGGACACTTTGTGCGCATTGGATAACCCCCTCCCCACTCTTAATAGCCTGCAAACCATACAAGGGATGTAAACCGCACTAGGCAAGCCCTATGAGACAGACTCGACTTAGAAGACATTTCAAGGCAGATTGATCCCGAGTCACCCGTGTGGATAACCAGTTAACCACCCTCCAAACCAATTGAGATACCCATTTTTAGTGGGTAAACATTAAATTTATTATCCATTCTTTTTTATGATTGTTGAATATCTTCTTATTTTTAGTTCTTCAAGTGTTATATAATTAACATTTCCTCCTCATTCAATACTAGGAGGATCAATCGTATTTTCACTTAGTCTCAATGTTATTTACTTTTGCCCAGAAACAATGATCACATGCATTTCTTGAGTGAAGAGATTATCGCTTTTCAAAACACTTTTTTAAAATTATAAAGTTTGTAAAATTTTAATCTCATAATAAGATTACTCTTTAGAGTAGTATGTAGATGTCAATAAACCATAATAGTTTATGTGTATGTGAGTCAAATTAAATCTTCTAGACAAATTTACCAATTTTTTTAATGGTAAACTAATTAAAGAAAATGTATACAACTAAAAGTAGCTCAACTTATCTTGACTATATTCCAAAAGTCAAAACTCTTAAGACAACACATTGTTAGATCAACAACTCCAACAATGCATATACATCCAAAAAAAAAAAAAAAGTATATAAACATGACAACATGTAACCAAGAATATCAAAGAAAAAAAAAAAACAAATTCAAAATCGTATCGAAAAAATTAATGGAGATGAAATATTTAACGATGATAGTATTGTTTTTTGGAGTAATGTTGCAAGAAGGCATGAGTCAAACTAGGGATTCATCATCATGTATGAGCAAGTTACTCCCATGTATGAATTATTTAAATGAAGCAAAAGGTGATCCACCACAAAGTTGTTGTAATCCATTAAAAGAAGTAATTAGAAAAATGCCAGAATGTTTATGTCAAATGGTAAGTATTAAAGGGAGTAAAGCAGCAGAACAAGCTGGAATTGATGTTAATGAGGCACAAATGTTACCTGCTAAATGTGGACAGCCTGTTAATTATATGGGATGTCTTAAAGGTATCGATTTTACTCGAATTAAAACATGTTTCAATCGTAAATATACGAATAAAATAATTTATCTACTTATTTGGAATTTGTGTTCTTGGTTTTAGGTGCATCAAATTCTGCTGGAAAATCAATGGGGATCACTATAACCATGAAAGTATTTTTGGTGGTTGTTTCTATGATTTTATTTCAATTTTTGTGATAATCATCGTTATGTTATTACCTTTTTTTGCATTAATTGTTGAATATTGAATTAATTTACATTTTATTTGCTTTGGTGTTATGTTTAATATCTCAATTGTATGATCTATCGACATGCTTTCTCTATTTTAGTGAGGCAAAAATTGTTTATTGTAGAATGTAGACTAATCAGGCCATTTTCGTCAATTTGCCAGTATCTAATCTTTGTTTTAAGTTGTTGAATTTCAATTTAAAGGGAAAAGAACAAATATATCCTTTTTTTTTAAACTTTGTGATTTAGAGCAGCTAACACAATAATATAGCGCACGTCGCTGAAGAGAGTACCCCTTTATTAGACAACCCTCCTCGTCCCTTTGTAAGAGATGGAGCGACCGTCACTCTACAGCTCAAAACTGGCCAGTATTAAACTATGTAATCTGTCCTCGTTTATGTAGCCCACTTTGCACTAGCCTAACGCCTTGCCTACTCGTCTTTAACTATATATTATAAAATGAATATCTCATCGGCTAAATGTGCAGATCTATATTAACTGAATTTGAAGAAAAATGAAAATCCTATAATTGATTTTTTTTAATAAAAATGTGAAAAATTAGCTCACCCTATTTTTTTTTTTGTGAAAAATCTCAATCACTTTCCTATTCAATCATCACAAGCATGACTGCATAATTGAGGTATTGAGTTTTTATGGTTGGGTCGAAGGAGTAAAAAAATATTCCCTCTTTTCAAAAAAGAATGATCCTATTTTCTTTTTATTCTGTTTAAAAAAGAATGACCCTTTTCCTTTTTTGGCAACATTTTAATTTTAAACTTTCCGCGTGACATGTTTAGCACCACAAGATTAAAGGACATTTTAATATATTTGACATAACTTTATTTTAGAACCACAAGATTTAAAAGTCTTCTTTCTGTTCTTAAATTTTGTTTCAAGTCAAACTAGACCATCCTTTTGAAGCGAAGTGACATTTTAAAATTAAAAATGTATGTTCACTCTAAATCACAAGCTTCGAAGTGAGCAAAATAATCCAAGATTAGCCCTATAACATTTTGCTAGTATTTTTAAAAAGTTGGTGGAGCTAGGTTGGCGAAAAGGGTAACGGTCATAAAATTTTGAAAAAAGAAAAAGTTGTTTATGTATATCATTTCATTTTCTTTTTAAATCGGATACAAGTCTCCTTTTTTAGCCCACTTTGGTTATAACACATTATACAAAAATCATCGTTTGGCACACCCTCTAAAGCCTATGAAATTGACAAAAGCCATGAAGAAGCTCAAGTTCTGGTCAAAAAAGAAGAAGAAAAAGAGAGTTCCTCTCCTTGACCGACCACCATCCCCGCCACCACCGCTCCTCCCTTGCTATTACCACTGCCCTTACAATTACCCAGTTCAGCCGTCAGCACCACCTTTGCCACCTTGGTACGAGTACGTGCAGCCATATGATGACTCAATTTTCACAACAGAGCAAGGTTCAGGTTCAGGTTCAACAGCAGACAATTCAAGACAAACTCATGCTAGTACTAACTCTCAGCACATCGATAATGTTGGTGAAATCAATCAACCAAAACCAACACCATCGGATAATACTTTGCCTCAACAGTATATGGTTCAGAATCAAGTGTACGGCGTACCTGTAATCGCAGAAGCTAGAACAGAGAGAGGTGCTGGAGCTTTTGGATGTGTGATCAATTTTGGAGCTCATTTGTTCCGTTGCTTCTTTCCTTGCTTCCATATTCGAGAACTGAAGTAAGCTGTCATTGTTTATGCCTCTATCTGGAAACTCTCAGTATTCTTGGTAACATACTTTATATATTTATAGCAAGTAATAAAACAGTTGTATAAATATATGGATGGGAAGGTTGTTTTCTTATTTATGAAGGTGAATATTGTCACGTCTCATAGCAAGATTCCTCAAATATATATGTCTGAAATGTAGTGTCTTTAGCTCCAGTAGACAGCAGAAAATAAATTAGAATTTTCATTTGGGAAAATTCCCCTATAAAACAACAAAATTGAAACAAAAGGAAGACGTAAAGTGACAGTTAATTTGTTCTCGATTATAGATAAAAATATAAATAATGAGCTACCATACAACAAATTAAGGGCATAATTTAGTGGCAACCACACCCATCTAACCTAACCTTTGTAAATGGAGCATTGGCAGAAATGCTTCAATTTTGTATCTACAAATATAGAGATGCAGCAAAGACAATATCCCTCTTGATCTTGGTAACAGCCTCTTCAAATTTTGCCTCAAGCACGATATCCCCAATGGATTTTGCAGCTTGTATTAGCTGCTGAAGAACTTCCTCCAATCTCCTGATAGCCCTGATTAAACTGCCTTCAAACACCGGAGTCATTTCCATAATCTCATAAAACTTAGATCCTTTAGCCCAAGCATAGACGGCCTCCATGATATCAGGTCGGAAAGAACTCACGAAGTTCTCAACATCTATTTGGACCTATTGAAAGCAAAACAAAGTAAGACAGAGAGGTATACAGGAAATCTATACTAGACAGAACAACAACAGTTGATCTTTGGTTGTGGAATATGGAGGGTCTTCGTTGATTAGTTTCTCAATTTAATTGAACTGATTTACAAATTCAAAGTAGTGTGGATGTACATATGTGCTCAATTGAACCCAAAAAACTGAAAGATAATAACACAGTAAACCGTGTTCATTCAGCTATGGTGTTCTATACCACAACTATCATAGCTTTATCAGCACAATCATTCAGATGACACATACCTTGCTCTCGAGCTGAACTTTTGCCACTTGCTGAGCTGTATCCTGTAATTGTGCAAAGAGCAACCCAAGCTCTTCCCGGGGCTTTTGAGCATCCTGAAGCTTTTCTTGCCAAACAAAACAAGAGAGAAGAGAGACCATATCCTCCACTTTAATATTTCTGAAGGTCCCATTCAACATCAATTCAGTCAAGGTCAACTCATCTGCACTGCTGATTTCGCTGGCTACTTTTCCTTTCTGCAACACAACATCATCCTTGATGTATCTGCATAACCCCCAACCTTGTAAGCATTTCCATGCAATCCAAAAAAATAGCCAAGTCATAAAGAACAGACGAATCCCAGAGCAAGAAACCGAGAGAACGGAGAACATTATGAAGAAGCAAGTATGATACCAAACAGAGGGACCAACGCGTTGCAGAAACAAAACATTTCTTTTTACCACATAGAAATAGGATAACATCGTTTCTCCCCATGGTTCTCTCTTCAAAGAAGGCTACTTATTGAGCCCATTTTCGACATTGTCAGTCAAATACACCCACCAAGGATCAGAATTACAGTAATTATTCAGGAGGTGACGGGCTTAATATAACACTAGAAACATTTTGAATGTTACTACACCTTAGAAAAGGCACAACAAAATGGAAATATAATCCTGAAGTAGAAGAGAAAAAAGAAAGAAAAGATAAAACAGTTCAACAATGGAAAGATGGCAGCAAGATACAAGAGCAATAACAATAATAACAGCATGTATACTCCTCTAATTTTGACAGATGCAATAGCCAACAAAGCACAGCTTCAAAGTAGAAACAGAGCCAATCAGTATAAACAATACGAGGTCAGTAAGATAGACATTACCCAAGTCTTCTAAGAGCTCTTTTCCGTGCTTTAAGTTCATCTTTGAAAGCCAAGACAGTTGAAGTACGCAATGTTCTCTTGATTGATTTGATTTTGCTGGTAAGTTCTTTCTTCTTATGCAAAACCTTAAGCTTCTCTTTTATAAGGGGAGACTTTGCTATCTCGTACTCTTCAAACAGACTCTCAAGAGCCTCTATCCTACTCGAAGCCTTCCTGTACGAGCTACTTTGAACCTGCAGAACATGCATAGAACGAACATCAAGCTAATATTAGCAAATGAGAGAGAGAGAGAGAGAGAGAGAGAGAGAGAAAGAGACATAGACTGTGTCTGACCTTCATGTCATCTTCTGGGTGTAAGAGAGGCATGCCCTCTTTTGAAAATCTATTGAGAACTTCAGAAACCTTCTTTAGTGCATTTTCTCGAACTTCCGAAGGCAAAAGATCCTTTGGTATCACAAGACGGACACTGCTCAAACTATCAATCTGTCAATTAATAGTTTATAGCAGGGAACACGTTAGCTAAGCCACACAAGCAGAACAACAAGCATACATTTAAGTGGCATGATTGTCAATGTAAAAGACCTAAATGTATGTCATCGACCATTTCTATATTTTCTTTCATGACCTACCAGATAGAAGATACATGCAACATATGAAAAGATGAGAAAAGATCTTCAAAATCTATGAAAATCAAAGCATTCACATGCAGAAAAAAAGCCAAGGGCATCCAAGTGAAAGTAACCTTTCCACCAAGGATCCTTTCCTTTCACAGTTCAACCAAAAGGTGCAAGAACTGAAGGTGCTCCACCAAATCCCGGCCTTGTTTCTAGTTGTTAGGGTCTGTTAATGGTGGTTCTTGAGCTTACTCCTTTCTACAAGGATTTAACCTCAGTTTTTCACAGTTTCATCCCATTTCACTGACTGTTAGGCCACACCTTGATTGTGTAAGTTTGAAGTTATCCTAGTAGAACACACACGAAGGCTTGGTACAGTTTCAAGACTCTTGTCGCAATTCATCATCTTAAATTACTAAATCTAATACTCATTATCAGATTTTCTAGTAGCCAAATAAGCCTAAGGAGCTTACCTGGGACAAAGGAAGAGAGACAACAGCTGGTTCACCAGCATCCTTCAACCGAACGACTTTAATTGTCTTTCTACCAACCTCATCCTTCTGCACTATACATCTCGTGAGTACATCTACTGTATAGTTCGCGTCCTCCGGTTTTTTGTTTGCATCATCTGAACATGAACATTGAACTAAAGGTTAAGGAATCTAACTAACAAAAGAACTCAACTGATGCTGAATCAAATCCTCACCTTCAGAAATCCCTTTCACCCTTTCAAAATTAACTATTACTCCCCATGTGACCTCTTCACTGAGGGAGAAGTTTGGGTCAACATCAACCTTTGTACACTCAATGCATACAAGCCTACCAGGCTGCAGGAAAGGTAAGCAATATTTTGGAGAAAAAACAATGCCACGTACATCCCTCTTCAAGCTCTTATATTGTTCTAGCAGATTATA